CTAGCCTAGCTTAGCTAAGCGAGAACAGCGTAATAAATAATAATAATACTATATAGTTATTATAAAGAGTCTAAAATATATCCTTAAACTAATTACTAAAGCCTCGTAGCTATTCTATATATAACCTCCCTAGATAGATATTAATTAAGAGGCTTAGGAGACTTTAAAGGCTAAGCTCCTCGAGATAGTAATTATCCTAGAAGGTTATTATATATTTTATAGACTATTAGAATTAATAAAGCCTATAGCCGTACTAGAATCGTTGGATAGGAGAATAGAATACCTATTATAGAGGTAGTCTTATAGATAAGGCCTTATATAGTCTTACTAAACTACCTCGTTAATTATAATAGTAGTAAACCTAAGAGTAGTTCTTATCCGAAGTATTATAATAAACCTTATTAACGAATATTCTATAGTTCTTAATCTAATAAGTCCTTTCTTTAGATCTCTTTATATAAACTTAATCAGTATAAGTAAATTCCCTATTATGCTATATTATAGTAGGCGGGGTATTAGATCTATATTTGTTAAACTATAACTTAAGAGGTATAGGGGGACGGGCTTTAAATACCGTAAGGCTAATAATAGGTAATTAAGGTAGCAGCAAAGGGTAGTAAACTATATATTAAGGAGGATAGTAGATACTTTAGATTAATATACGAGGCAGATACTATAAATTAAATAGTTTTCTACTACTATTATTAGCTCCTAGATAGAAACTATTATACTAATCACTATAGTAGTTATTATAAAGGTATATAGAAATACGATATATATTATATAATTATAAGCTATAGGCTATATATTATAATAGTATACTACTAACTATTATAGTTAGACGTTATACGTTCGGTTCCTGTTATAGGCGTTAGTTAGTAGCTTATACGTTTCTTTAAAAATATAGCTATAATCTTTTTTTTTTTTTCCTGAATTTCTATTCGTCTAGAACCGGACTAATACTACGCTAATTAATATTAGAGAATTAACTAATTCACTAAACCGGGGATACAAATTAACTATTTAAATTAATTTAATAGTAATGATAATTACTAGTTATTAATAATATATTATTCTAATAATCTTTAACTAGAAATATAAAGTAGATACTTCCTTATAACCTTATAGTTTAATATATTAAGGTCTTTAAAAATATAATACTCTAATTATTGAAGTCTACCTTTAGTACTTTATTACTTATAAGAGTCTTATTATAAATAGTCTTTTAGATATACTATATATTGTATAAAGACTATAAATATACTTTATTATTACTCTTAGACTTAGTATTTATCTAATAACTTACTTATATAATAATATAAACTAATATATAGAAAACGTAATATAATAAGATATATAATAGCTGGTATAGGACTTTATAATAGTAAATATAGTATATTATTATATACATTAGGCTATAAAATACCTTTTATACCTTATATTATACGAATAAAATAATAACGAAAATATAATACTATAAAAGCAAAATATACTAATAATAGTTTTTAATTTCCCTTATTTTTATACTTCTATTTATATACTTTTACTTATATTTATATATATATATATAAATATATTATTAGTAATACTTATATAGTCTATTTATACTTATATATATATATAACACTTACTAGCCTTCCTTTAAGTAAAATATAATTACCCTTATTATATTTCTCTGTTTATTTAATCTAACTAAGCCTTACTAAAAAGGTTTTTAGTATCTTCCTGCCTCCTACCTCTCCGTATAGCCTTATATATAATACCACCGATATACGAGGTAAACGATAAGACCTTAAACCTCTTCGCGAGGAGATCTACCGCCGCTACGAAGAAGGTTTTTCCGACGACTTTATTTACGACTATATACGATAGTAAATAAGAATAATAATTAGCCGTACCTTACTATAGCGCCGGTATAAGGCCTAAGGCCTCTCGCGCTAAACACGTATAGTTATATTAACGGATCTTATTCGACACGTATATAAGTTTTTTTACGATAACCTCGACGATATCGAACTATTATAATAGCTATAGACTAAGGGCTTCCGGATATCGAAGTTCGGACTTAAAGGTATCCGAAAAAGTAATAAGTTATAGCGATGGCAGGATATACTATAGATCGAGGAGGCTAAAGTAAAAGCTAAAGAGTTCTTTAAGGGTAATAATCCTAATATATCCTTTACACGGGGGCTTAGTACTATATAGCTTTATATATTTATACGGCAGAAAGGCTTTATAATTAGCCGCAATACTCTTTACCGTACCTTCTTAGAACTATTCCTAAAAAAGGTTACGGCCTATATAAAGGAGATATGGTACCGTAGAAAGGGCTAAATAACGCCTAGACCGAATTTTATTTAGTCTATTAACGCGTACAATAAGCTATTTTCTTTCGGCTTCGAGATCTATACCGGTATTAACGCCTACGCCCGATTTATAACTTAGTTTTACATTAGAATATCGGCGTATACTACTAGGAATATCCTTATATAGTATATCCACGTTATACGTTAGACTGGATTTCTCCCGCGGTTTATTCGGTTAGATTAGGGTAAAGAGATAACACTCTTAGCCGGTATATACTAGTATATATCTATATAGTCGCGTATAAAGAAAAATATAGCCGGCGAGGATATTCCGATTAAGTTTAAAGACTACTAGATATTTAAGAAGAGTATCTATAATTAACATATCGAGGTATAGTAGAATAGACTCTATTAGTCCTATTCGGTATATTAAAGGGTAAGTAAATATTATACTCTACTACTTTATTAATATTATATTCCTTTACTAATATATATCTAAGAGTATTTTATTTACCTCTTCGAAAACGGCCTTTTCGATAACCGTTTAATTACCGACCGTATTACGCTGCTTTACGTGTATATACTACTTATACGTACCGACTTTACACGATTTATAGAGGTCTATAATAGCTACCGTATCCGCGTATAGCGTTCTCGGCCGTATATTATTACTAATAAGCCTTAGGTACTTTACTACTAGGCTAAACGGGACTTCCGGGTATAGCCGGATCCTATACGGCTTCGTATACTAGAAAACGCCCTTATAGAAGATCTTTAATAGCTTAATATATATCTGCCTACGAATATTATAGTAGTATACTTAGCGCTTAAGTCTACGGCGGGTAGCCTCTAAGAGATACTAACTATAAACGGTAAAGAGTATTCTACGCTTCCTCTATATAGTTATATACGTAATAGTCTAAATACGTATATAGCCGCGAAGACTAAACCCTAGCTTTTATTACTACCTGTGCCTTATAGTAGTATCGCGACTATAAAGGACCTACTTAAAAAGAAGGGCTTAGATATAGAATAGGCTATAATAGGAACTAATAAAACTAATTTAGCCTTTTCGGATATAGAAAGCGAGGATAGTAATTAATTCTAATCTAAGGCTCCTTTTAATCTAAGGCTCCGTGTCGGAAGTTATTAAAAATATACGCTTCCGGCCACGAAGATCTATCGTTAACGCTAGCACCTTACTTTTACCCGTCTCCTCCTATTCCTCTATACCGTGATCCTCCTCTTCTATATAAGCTTATATATTAGTATCCGGTGCTATCTCGGTCTTTACTACTAATAGCTTAGTCTTTACCACCTACGGCTCGGTATACGTTACCGGCTCGGTCTTAACCGTTACCTTTACGGCTTATTTCCCTTTCCCTTTTCCGGTCTACTTCTTCGCACGGGTCCCCTTTCTAACTTCCTTCTTCATAGCGATTAGTACCTCCTTATCGTTATTATTTTATATCGTATTATTATATTTACTCGAGGTTAGCTTTAACGGGTCGGGGACTTTAGTTTTTCGGAGGAAAGTAAGATAATAATCCTTTATTAGACTAAGACCCGATTCGCGTAGAAATATATAAAGCGTTATAGTATTATACGCCTTATTTCGGAAGAAGATAACGGTTTTCGGATTCTTCTATTCGTATAGAAAGACTATAAGGTCCTGGTTAAACTAGTATGTATCGGATATAAACTGGCTTATAAGGTAGCGTATAAAGTCTTAATAGTTCGGAAAAGTCTAGTCTAGTATAATTAAAACGCGGCCGGTAATCTTTTATCCTCTAATCTTTATAAACTTTAAGATATCTATACCACCGATATCTTAAACGTAGTACTCGCCGTTATACAGGCTAATACTAATCTCCTTTATAGCCTACGGCTGCTTTTCTTCCCGTGTTAATTAGATACTAGCCCTACGCTACGCCTCGCCGGTTCGAAACGTAGTTAGAAGCACTCTACCCTATACTTACGCCTACGCGATAGCGCCGGGCGTATAAAGCGCCTTCGGTTCCGTATCTTCGCGCTTTAAGCGGGGAGGAGTATCTACGGTTAAGTCGATAACCGTGTCGTCATCGTTAATAGGAGCGTTAAAAGGAGGTATTAATTTATTCTTAATAAGTATAGTTTCAGACCGGGCTATACCGTATTTAGCGTATTTTAACTAATCGGGATTAGTATCGAAAAGAATAGTATAATAGACCTTAATATTAGAGTAGATAAGTATAGTTACGGGCGTTATTATACAGACTATTATATAACCGTTAGCGTAGATACCTCTTCTAAATAAGGCCTACGATAGTTATACGTATATATATAGGGCTATATAGATAGGGTTTTTATATATGTGCCCTATAACCCTGCTTAATTATATCTACACACGCCTATATATAAATCGTACTACTAGGTAGAAGACTTCTATGGTCGGGGTAAACCTATTAATCGATTATTACTATTTTTAGAAGTTAAAACAGACCGTCCTGCCGCTTGCCGTATGATGCCTTAAGTAACTTAAGATAACGGACCACGCCACATGATGATAAAGGAGCTCCATGTACGAATACCTAATTAGGTAAAAGCAGCAACCCACCTTACAATAAATAAATACCTTTACCTCACACACCGCCTCGCGAACGGGCAACAACCCTCGAAAACGTCCTGTTCGGACTATGTTGTTAAAGTACAGAATGCTCAGGACTTTTCATTTTACCATCTTCGGGAATGCACTCTTGTTCCGATTGGGACTTTGGGACTGAGATGCTTACGTTGTCTTGGCTTGGCTTGTGATGCCATGGGTAACATCGTTGCCCTGCACGTTTATCCAAAATCCTTCGGCCTCTTTTACCTGACGAATGTGGAGGCAAATTGAGCAACTTTTCTTAGAGAGCTGATTGGATCTTGCGCTTGACATGCTGTAAAGGCGGCAGAGGAGCACTCGTACGAAAGAGGCAGCACGGAGAGAGAGGCCGGGGGTGAATTGCAGGGGATGATATAAAGCCATGCGACCGGCGCTCGGAGTGTCGCAGTTCCCCCTGGACGTCTCGCAGTATCCATCCTCGAGCTCTGTCTCTGTCGTACATTTGACACAACACAGCATCACGCAAAAGATAACAAGCATCCGCTCATCGCCATGAAGTTCTCACGCTCCAGCTTGTCAATGCTCCTGGCGTGGACATGCTCTCACGTCAACCTAGCAACAGCTCAGTGCGGGAACAGTACCAGCCCCCCGGTCAACTACGGCATGGTGCTCTTCCCCAGTTTCCAAGCCCTCGACGTTTTCGGGCCCCTCGACATCCTCAACATGTTGTCCCTCTCGCATCCCATGAACCTGTACCTCATCGCCGCCACCCTTGACCCCGTCAGCACGGCTGCGATGTCCGCCAGCATGAACCCCCTGAACTCGAACTTCTCCGAGTCCATCGTCCCAACCCACACCTTCGCCGACCCCCCGCCTGACCTCGACGTTCTTATCGTCCCGGGCGGCCTCGGCACGCGCGCCCCGGCGCCACGGCTGGACGAGCTGATCGGCTTCATCCGCGACGTGTACCCGAGCCTCGAGTACCTCATCTCCGTCTGCACGGGGGCTGGCCTGGTCGCTCGCGCGGGGGTTCTCGATGGCCGAAATGCGACCACGAACAAGCGCGCCTGGGCGCAGACAGTCGCCCATGGCCCTGCCACCAACTGGATCGGTCGTGCCCGGTGGGTCGTTGACGAGAATGTCTGGACCTCGAGCGGTGTCAGTGCCGGGATGGACGCCACCCTCGCTTGGGTCGCGGCCGTTTTCGGCGAAGAGCAGGCCGACAGCCTCGCTCTTGGTATGGAGTATGAGCGGGTTAGCGATCCTTCCAACGATCCTTTTGCGGACTACTGGGGCGTGGAGGATGTTCCACCCGTGCGTGTCCCGCTTGAGTGAGTCTGGTACACGTGACAAAAGGAAGTAGTTTTGTGCAGGGCTCTTGATAGTCTGGGATAGACGTTCCTGGGCGGCCGCATGGGAGCATTGTAACTTTATGTCGCAGAGGTTGTTCGGGAGGACTCGGGTATGTTAGCATCTCGAATACGATGACAGGTTAGGTTCTTGGTTTGTTAGCGTTCAACACGAGAAACGAAATCAACCACAACGAAAGGTAAGAAAGGGCCCAGGCATATGTCATGAGCTGGTAAGCCTAGGAGAAACCAGGAGAAACAATACTCCTGCTTCGCCCTTTATGTTCGCGTATATATGGCCATCTCTTCTAATACATAAAAAAAAATCAATCCGAGGTGCTTTCTCAGTGCTGTAAGACAACGGGCTTCCCCTTCTCCCATTCATCCAGGCTATCCTTGATGTTCACCCAGTACCGCAGCTTGACGGCCTCCCGTTTCGCAGCCTCAATGTCATCCCGCGCAAAGGCGCCCTCCAGCACATCCTCGCTGGCCCGAATCCGCTCGTCGTTTTCCGCCCGGAGCGGCTCGAGCTCGGTCTCCTCCTCGGCCTCCTCGATGGCCTCGCGGGCTTCGAGGACCATCATGAGCAGGTTCGGATCCTCGACGCGCAAGGTCTCGTCGGTGGAGACGTCGACGCCGCGAAGCGAGAGGAGGTATTGGGCGCGCAGCAACGGGTTGGAGAGGGTCTTGTACGCCTCGTTGATGCGCGCGGACGTCGCCTCGGCGCGGGTTTTCCGGTCGGCCGGGTGCAGGTCCGGGTGGGCTTTTGCTTGGAGCTGGAGGAATTCGCGGCGCAGCGCGCGCTGGTTGATGGGGAAGTGGCCCGCGGGTGGGGGGCCGTCGGGTAGCGTTTCGGGGAAGAAATCGTAGTGGGTTGTCGGGGGCTTGGCCGGATGTGAGTAAGTAGATGAGGAGGAGGAGGAGGAGGACGCATGGCAGAGAGATGCGCTATGAGTCGTCCATCGCGCATGAACTGGGGTTCTCGGGTTCGTTGTGGTTTTCGGTACAGCGACAGTTTTGTTCTGGGAGAAGGGTGAGAGGACGGATGGCCGGCCCAGCGAGGCCTGGAGGCGACACCTGTCACAGACTCGGGCGGAAATCCGGATAGACGCTCGCATCCTTTAAAAGCACTTGTGTTTTTAGATAGTGAAAGCGCTATATAAAGAAAATGAGGCGTACGCGGAAATGTGTCAGAAACAGAGTCGCTAGGTGGAAGATGGTTGGGGCGTTGCATATTTTTTTGCATTTTGGTCAAGTTTAAAGCTCGGGATTTCTTGTTCACCCTTGGCTAGCTCCGGAGATACTCCTCCACATTACCTGAGCAGGCCTGTACCTTAGGTAATTACCTTAGGTACACCGTATTACGAAGTACCTACCTAGGTACCTAGGTAAATTGCAAAGCTCGGCCTAATGACGTTTTACAGGTCGGCGGTCGGGGCAAAATCACCGAGCTTGGCATAAGGTAGGGACAAACTCGAGTCCTAGCTGTGGGCTACAGACAAGCTCTTGTACTTCGTAGGTAAATTCGTAGGTAACATTACTCCAGGAACCAATACCGGCGACATGTGAGGTACAACTTTTGATACTTCGTACTATACCATCCTGAGGTTTGTGTTCGGGTTTGTCGCATCCCCGAAATCACCATGGATTAACGCAACCCCCGCAATTACTCCAGCACTACGTGTAAGGCAATTTAGGGGTATCCATACACCGAGCACCGTCACAGGTCCACTGTAACCACTATTAACCCCCACTGATTCGACGGCATAACTTCAACCGAGCCACCGAGACTGTGGGTTCTATCTACACATAGTCCCCGTTGCATGCCCCTTTCAAGAGCTCGACATTGCCCCGGACTTGTACCAGGTCTTACGTACTTCGTAGGTGAGTTTCTCATGCTCTCCAACGATGGACTAATCCAGAGACATCATATCCGGCTCAATTGAAGGACTGACACCATGGTTAAAATCTTTGAAGCCGAGGAAGGTATGTGCTCGTCTTGTTTGTTTTTCTCGTATAGGCCACCAGCCGGATGGGTAGTAATTACAGACGAACTGACGTAGTCCCTTCCCTTCTTCCTTTGCTCCAGTGGCAAAGCACAACACCGCCGAGAGCTGCTGGGTGGTGCTATACGGCGATGTCTACGATGTGACGGAATTTCTCCCTTCCCACCCAGGAGGGTCGAAAATCATTCTCAAGCTGGCCGGCAAGGATGCCACCGAGGAGTACGACCCCGTTCACCCTCCAGGGACCCTTGAAGAGAACCTGAAGCCCGAGGCCAAGCTGGGAAAGATCAATCCCGAGTTACTAGCCGAGGCAGAGGCGGATGCGAAGACCCCCGCTGCCACAGAGGCTGCGAAAGACAAGGATGCGCCTGTCCGACTAGAGGCGCTTCTCAACCTGGACGACATCGAGGCCGTAGCTACCAAGCGCATCTCCAAGAAGGCCCATGCGTACTACTTTTCCGCCGGCGATGACATGTGGTCCAAGAATTACAACAACCTGGTGTACAAGAAAATCCTACTGCGGCCCCGCGTCTTTCTCGACATCAGCAAGAGCGACCTAGCCACCACCCTGCTGGGACACAAAGTCGGCTTGCCGCTGTACGTCTCGCCCGCCGCCATGGCCCGGCTCGCCCACCCGGACGGCGAGCGGGGCATTGCCAGGGCAGCGGCCAAGTTCGGCATCATGCAGAACATCTCCAACAACGCGTCCATGACGCCGGAACAGATCGTCGAAGGCGCCGACCCCTCGCAGATGTTCGGGTGGCAGCTCTACGTCCAGCAGGACCGCAAGAAAAGCGAGGCCATGCTGAAGCGCATCAACGCCATGAAGCAGCACTTCAAGTACATCTGCCTGACCCTCGACGCCGCGTTGCCGGGAAAGCGCGAACTCGACGAGCGCCGGCAGTTCGACGACTTCGAGCCCGTCGACTCGGCCTCTAACGAGAAGGGCGCGGCCGAAAAGCGACCGGGGGGCGGCGGCGTCGGCCAGCAGCTTTTCTGGGGCACGGCCGGCGACCTTACGTGGAAGACCACACTGCCGTGGCTGGCCCAGCATACGGATCTCCCCATCGTTCTTAAGGGCCTGCAGACGCACGAAGACGCGTATCTGGCTGCCAAGTATGCCCCGCAGGTCAAGGCTGTCATTTTGTCTAACCATGGTGGCCGGGCCCTCGATACAGCGCCGCCTGCCGTCCATACTCTGCTCGAGATTCGCAAATACTGCCCTGAGGTGTTCAGCAAGATCGAGGTGTGGGTCGACGGCGGTATCAAGCGCGGAACTGACGTTGTCAAGGCGCTCTGCCTGGGAGCCAAGGCCGTTGGTATCGGAAGGGCGGCGCTGTTTGGACTGGGAGCCGGCGGTCAGGCCGGTGTGGAGCGGACGTTTGAGAGTGAGTAGCCATCTATTAGCTGCGCCTTGTTGCCATCCTTCCTGAAGGTTGAGGTCTCACATGCTAACACGATGTGACGTTAGTTTTGAGGGGAGAGATCGATACTTGTGTGAGACTCCTGGGTGCGCAGTCTATTGCTGATTTGGGTCCTCGATTCGTAAGTCGCCTATTCCTCCCTCCTGAACCCGGGACGGCTAACGAGAACCCGACTAACTCCGGTTGCAGATCAACACTCGAATGGTTGAACAGGAAATATTTGATGGCGAACCTGGTTTGGATAACGGCGGACTGTGGTCACGAGCTAAATTATGAACGAACATGTCTGGCTCAGGGTCCCAATACCTCGATATATTGATGTTAAATTAAAGGCACGCACATATATTTGACTTGCGGAAGAATTTCTTGAATTTCATAGCCAACTTTCATGTTATTTTGGGCAAGGAAATCTGGATCATTCGTTGCCGTCTCTGCGAACCCCATGCCACGAAATGCCGAGAATTAAACCCGCATAACCCAGGATAATACTACAGAATAGGACTTTGTAATAAGTAAACAGGCAAGCGCCAGGCGCACCCCCAGAGGTTCATCTCTGTGTCCTGTGATGATTGACCGAATTACCTGCCACCAAGATGAAAAAAAAACAAAAATGAAAAGAAAAGAACAGCAAGGTCACCATGCGCCAGCGCATTATAAAGAGACCACCCCCTTACCAGCCGTCCATCTTGAACTGGGCGTCCTTGGTAGTTTTTCTTCTTCTTGTTGTTCACTGTCCACTGGCCTTCCTCTTACTGCCACGAGACAGCCCTCCTACCTCAGAGATTCTGCCGCTTCCCGACGATGCAGTAACAGGCGGCACAAAGTCAATCCCACTCCGCTTCCCGCCTGTTTTCTCCGCCATCCGTTCCTGGCGGATCTTCTCTTGGTTTTTCTTGAGGGGACCTCTGAAGGCCCAGTCAGGAAACGCAGGGCCCGTCGGGTCCCATACGTCAGGTGATAGCGTAGTAACATACTGCCGTCTGAAATTGACATCCCCGCCGCTACCCTCTTCCGAGCCCAGTTCGACAAAGTCCATGAGCTTGTCCATGAGGGATGGGTTCCGGAGGGCGGAGGAATTGGCGAGTTTGCTGTTGAAGTGCACGTCTTTCTTCTTGAGATGGAGGAATTTGTCGAATTTCTCGTTTAAGCCTGGAGGTGGTGAGCCAGGGGGCGAGGGGGGGATGTCGAGGTCGGGGTATGTGGGAAGGGTGAGGTGCCGTAGGAGAGCGCGGTTGGCAGAATAGGGTGATGATGGGGCATCGGGCCGCGAAGGGAGTTCTTCTTCTGGTTCAGGGAGGTAGGGTACATTCCCAGGTGGTAATGATGGGCCTAGCGGACCGGAATGTTGCGGCATGGGTCCGATGATGGCGGGTTTCTCTGTTGATTTGGACACTGGTGCTGGAGCGGCCTCTTGTGATGCAGCGGTTTCTTGTGCCTGCCTAGAGGAAGCTGCCGTGGGACCATGTCAGCATTTACTGGTTCCAGAATAAGAGCAAAATGAGTTTCCAAAAAGATGCATGTTCATACGTGGTTGATCTGGGGCGGAGGCTTTAGGCCCGGGTGCTTTCACATCTGCCTGCCATTATCATCTTGATGAGTGAATCGTCATGAGACCCAGTTCAACTTCCCGAAACTCACCAGTGGCTTTGGGGCGACCTCTGTGACCTCTTCATCTTCATCACTGGCGTATTCTACAAGCCCAGCCATATTAGAAGAGAAACAGTAAGAAAAATGTGAAGTGTAAAGGCAAAAGGGCTGGCTCGGTGTAAACTCAAACTCCCCTGCCGTCCTGGTAAGACTGGTAAGACGAAGAAGACGCGTGAACTGAGATCCCGATAGTCAAGCCAAGCCACATACCTTATTAATGTGGCTGAACTACCACTACCTCGCCACCCCACATTATTATGTAATCAACGTGACACCTTTTTGCCAAGATACGAAAAGTTCCCCTCCGTCCAAGTTTCTCCTGGCTTTCTGATTCGAAACAAACCTCTCGGTGTCCATCGCCGACCCATGACGATTTTGACAACTCCGTTACCCGTAATTTACACTTACCCTCCGCAAAGACACGATTGAAGACAACAAGAACTACACGACCCTAACACCCTCCCCGGATTTTGACTACAGCACTCGCATAGACAGTTGGTTCACGGGGCTCTTCCAAGGACAACCACAGCTCTAAAGTAGCTCTCACCAAAACTTGTCTCGCTGAGCCTCGGGACCTATACAATGGCTCGGACCAGGGACTCGCGCTCACCATCGCCTGCAGGAAGTTACCACGGCTCAAGACGGCGAAGAGATGATGACCGCCGCGGTCGGGACCGTCGCGACGATGGCCGCGACCACCGTCGTCGTGGCCGGTCTCGAAGTCCTGGCAATGTGAGAAGACACCAACACCACCGTGAAGATCGCCACGATGGTCAACAAGATGGTCTTTCTGACAGGAGACACGATCAGCCCCGATACAATGACCGCGAACGCGAACGCGACCGGGACGCGTATCGCCGACGAGACCGATCCCTAGATCGTCGAGACGACTCTTACCGAGGAAGCAGGCGTGGCCATGACCGCCACAGAGACCGGCGTCGATCCCGCGATCGGACTCCCGATCGGAGACGACGAGATGACGACAGGGATTCCCGCGCAAGGCGAGACGCATCGCGCGATCGGGGCGGCAGTCGCCCTGTGGCCACGGCCGCCTCTCCCGGCCGAAGTCGGCGTGATGGCGACCGCAGCCGCAGCCGCACCCGCACCCGCGAGCCCGCCACGCCGCAAAGCGCTGGCGGCAACGAGACCCCCAAGCCGAAGCCCACCCAGGCCCAGACCGAGGCCGAGAAGAAGGCTGAACGCCTCGCTCGCCTCGAAGCCTGGAAGAAGAGCAGAGAGACCAAGAAAGAAACCGAAGTCAATCCTGTTCAGACCCGGAATCTGCTAGCCGAAATGGATCAGAAGGAGTCGTCGGCCACCGGATCCCCCAGTGCGCCGCCCAGTGAAGCGGCGACGCCTACCCAATACACTGGCAAGTTTGATCCGAAGGCCATAGCTAAGAAGTCGGCCGCGACGTCTCAGAAGCAAGGTACTGCTAACGGTGTTTGGGGAAGCGTCGACGGTGCCGAAAAGGTGGCAGCACCTGTGAAAACTGCCTCGCAAGGTTCGTCGTCTCTCTCTCTCTCTCTCTCTCTCTCTCTCTCAAACTTGTTCTGGGGGCCGCCGTTTTATGCTAACGCCCGAAACCATAGCGTCTGCACTCCCGGCAAACAGAAGCAACTTGAGTGCCTTCGGCTTCCAAAGGGCCGAGAACGACAAACTCCCCAGCAAACGAAAACTTGTCCTCGACGAAGACGACGAAACCAAGAGGAAACTGACGAAACTTCCCGCTCTTCCCCTCGAAGCCGATGACACTCCGTACGCTGATCAAGATGACGATGAATCCGACGCTGACAATTTCGCCGGGACGGAGGAAGAAGCAGCGGCTGCCGCACGTGCTGCGCACGAGAGGCGGGAAAGGGAAATGCAGCAAGAGCAAGACGCCCAGGCTGAGGCGACGGGCGATGTCGAGATGGCCGATGCCGAGGCCCCAGCCGAAACGAACACGAACGGAATACAAAATGGACAAAAATCACCCGGTGACGACCAAGGTGTGGCCAGAATGACAGGCGTGACCGCTGATACGGAGCAAGGCAAGGTTCCTCCTGCCGATGTCGATGTCGATGTCGATGTCGAGGACGAGGTCGAGGACGAGGATGAGATCGAGGACGACGAGGTAGACCCCTTGGATGCTTTCATGGCTGGGTTGGACGACGGCACGGCCTCGACGTTGAAGAACGGGTCCAAGGCGAGTAGTTCCAAGGCTCAAGAGCCCGAAGCGTACTTTAGCGATGATGACTACGCTTTCAAGCCAGAGAATGGAAAACCCAATGCCGTCCTAGCCATGGCCGCCAAACGCAAGAAGAAGGACATCCCCAGCGTCGACTACACCAAGATCGATATGCCAACCATCCGCAAGAACTTCTGGGTCGAGCCCGCAGAGCTGAGCAACCTGACCGAAGCCGAGACGAACGAGCTGCGCTTGGAGCTGGATGGCATCAAGGTGTCTGGAAAAGACGTCCCCAAACCCGTCCAGAAATGGGCGCAATGCGGATTGACTCGACAGACGCTGGACATCGTCGCTGACCTAGGCTACGAGAAGCCGACGCCCATCCAGATGCAAGCTCTGCCAGCGCTGATGTCTGGTCGGGACGTCATCGGCGTTGCCAAGACGGGCTCGGGAAAGACGATGGCCTTCCTCCTGCCCATGTTCCGCCACATTAAGGACCAGCCGCCTCTGAAGGACATGGACGGCCCAGTTGGTTTGATCATGACGCCCACGCGCGAGCTGGCAGTGCAGATTCACAGGGACTGCAAGCCGTTCCTCAAGTCCATGGGCCTGCGCGCCGTATGCGCCTACGGAGGGGCGCCCATTCGCGATCAGATCGCCGAGCTCAAACGCGGCGCCGAAATCATCGTGTGCACGCCCGGCCGCATGATCGACTTGCTAGCCGCCAACCAGGGCCGGGTGACGAACCTGCGACGAGCCACGTACATCGTGCTGGACGAAGCGGACCGCATGTTCGACATGGGCTTCGAGCCACAGGTCATGAAGATCTTCGCCAGCATGCGGCCCGACCGACAGACCATCCTGTTCTCGGCGACGATGCCCCGCATCATCGATTCTCTGACCAAGAAGGTGCTCAAGTCGCCCGTCGAGGTCACCGTTGGTGGACGCAGTGTGGTCGCCCCGGAGATCACGCAGATCGTGGAGGTTTTGGACGAAGGCGCCAAGTTCTTCCACCTTCTTGGTCTCCTAGGCGAGCTATACGATAAGGACGAGGATGCTCGAACCCTCATCTTTGTGGAACGCCAGGAGAAGGCCGATGACTTGCTCAAAGAGCTCATGACTAAGGGGTACCCTTGCATGTCCATCCACGGCGGTAAGGACCAGGTCGACCGAGATTCCACCATTTCCGACTTCAAAAAGGGCATCGTGCCTATCTTGATTGCCACATCCGTGGCCGCCCGTGGTTTGGACGTGAAGCAACTGAAGCTCGTCGTCAACTACGACGCCCCCAATCATTTGGAAGACTACGTCCACCGAGCCGGACGAACGGGAAGAGCCGGGAATACGGGCACTGCGGTAACGTACATCACCGAGGACCAGGAGAACTGTGCGCCCGGAATCGCCAAGGCCCTGGAGCAGAGCGGCCAGCCCGTTCCCGAGCGGCTGAACGAGATGCGAAAGGCGCACAGGGAGAAGGTCAAGGCCGGCAAGGCCAAGGACACATCCGGGTTCGGCGGGAAGGGTCTTGACAGACTCGACGCAGAGAGAGAGGCGGCACGCATGCGCGAGCGCAAAACGCACAAGGCCGAGGGCGAGGAGGAGGATGTCAAGGAAGAGAAAAACGACGAAGACAAGGCGAAGAAGTCGGCGTCGGCCATCCAGGCCGCGGCATCTGCGATTGTGGCACGGCAGACCTCCAAGCCCGAGGCCGACGCCAAGGACAACAAGGAGCCCAAGGCGACGCCCGCGCCGGGCGGCAAGCAGCCCCTCGACAAGGTCAGCGCGGCCATCAGCGCCATCAACCAACGTCTGGGCAAGGCGGGCCAGCTGCGCACGGGCCAGCCCATCGACAACAAGGGTCCCGACGCCGGTGCCTACCACGCCACGCTGGAGATCAACGACTTCCCCCAGAAGGCCAGGTGGGCCGTCACCAACCGGACCAACGTGGCTAAGATTCTCGAAGCCACGGGGGTGTCGATTACCACCAAGGGCACGTTCTACCCGCTTGGCAAGGAGGTGCCGGCGGGGGCCGACCCCAAGCTGTATATCCTGGTGGAGGGCGACACGGAGGTTGTGGTCGGGGCCGCCATGACGGAACTGACGCGGCTGCTTGAGGAGGGCACCGTCGCTGCCACGACTGCGGACAGCCGCGCCCCGGCTTCGGGGAGATACAGTGTTGTGTAAGGTACGGTTGCTCGGGCCGGCGAAGAAGAAAAAAAGATCACATCTGGCATTGGGACGGCGCGGTTGCGACTTGAGTGTTGGGAAGGGCGTTTCTTTGTCCTTTTTTTCTTTCTTTTTCTGTTTTCTTCCTTTTCGGTACAATTGAATCCCGTTTCAATACCTGGTGGGGGGGGAAGGGGGCGGCGGTGGTGTATGTATTTTCCAATCCGGGTTAACTCGACGCGGTAATATCTACGGGGTCACTGTCGTTGAGACTCATCCTTGTTCCCTTGAACACGGAGTATAATAGAACGAACATTCATTCAGTTATACTGCCCTTAAAAATGAAAATACTGTGACCATCCGCTTCTCGAATGCATGTACAAAATAACACGGAGACAGATTCCCTCCCCTGTCCTCCCCTCTTGTCCCCTTGGCAGTCCTGTTTGAAAGCCAACTTCAGCAGATGAGGATGAACACCTATCAGTCAAAAGAATAGCCTCCCGCTTCTTACTCCGTTCAATATCGATGCAACTGAATAAATGAGAATTGAAAACCGAAACCTCTCCCATGTACACCTTCAGCCGAGGCTGTCCAACGTCGCTCAATGACCTGACCGAACCTCAACGTTACTTGATGCTTCAGCAGCGTGTTTTATGCGCCGACTACTTCCATCGGAGATACGAGGTAATACGTGCATCCCCCGACAAATAAAGCATTAGATGACCGGAGAAAAGAAGAGGGACCGGAAGAAGATGACGACGACGATGATGATGACAAGGGTGGAATGAAACCTCGCTCGGACGACATATAGTTCTGCCCCTATCGACTCCGCAGGCTCGGGTTACTTTTTCAGTTATTAGCCCTCGCCTCAGCTGCAGCATCAGCGTCGCGGTGCATTCTCTCCTCCGCACTAAGCTGATTGAGTGTGTCGATGCGAGTCTGTTTTTTCTGCTGGGCAAGCTGTGCACCCAGTTTGCCGTTGGCCTTGTTGCCCGCTTTCGCTCTGGCCTGTTTTGTCATGTCAAGAAGGAAGAGTTAGCCCGTGTGGGATCATGAGGTTTTCGTGTTGGCTTCTTCCCAGCCTAGGTAGCTAGGCCCGGTCGCGATCCCCCCCTCATCTCGTCAGTATCACGTACTTCTGCGGCTGCGGCGGCTCTTTTTCTCTGCTCCTCGCGGTCTGCTGTTGATGGCCGCGGGGCACCGCCGCCGAGAGGCCGCGGTGGACCGCCGACTTTCCTTGCCGGAACCGGGGCGCTCGTGGGCTGGGGCGGGGCTGAGCCGAGAGGTCGGCCGGGAGAGGAGAAGCGGTCGGCTTTTTCTTTTCCGCAGACGGCTCCCATGGCTGGGTCGGAGGGGTAGTTCAAGAGGACGGGGACGAGGAGGAAGAGGAAGAGGAAGAGGATGGTGGTTGCGATAGAGACGGGTGTTGCGCGGTTGCGGAAAGAGAGTAAGAGGGGAGAAGAAACAGGAAGATTTCGTGCACGTCGGTTGTTTGAACTGTCGTCGAGATATATTCACGGGGAGGCGGGGGCGGTGAGATGGGCAGATAAGGCAGGTAGATGGACACCCTTGGACGATAGATGCGAAGTAGGAAAGGTAGGTATTAGGTTCTGTAGCGCGGCTTATCTAAAGAGCAACAGGTCGTGGATCGTTACAGGCCGGCGGAAAGTGATGCCTCGAGGGAAAGACGTGGCATCGTCGTGAAGGTTGGGCAAGGCGCGTTGCACTTGGCAGGGTGCGGTTCGGTTGATATGGCGGGACGGGGACGAGAGGTTCCAATGCGCCAGCAACCAGGCAGGGGCTTCTTAGCTGTTTGTCCGGAATTGGGTCTTCGGTCTTCCCCGCCTTCTCTCAACCTAAGGTAAGGTAACCGGTAATTACGTCGTACCTGTACGAGTAGGTACAATAAGGTAGTGTACAATACCTGAGCGAGACGTAATTACGTGTTCTCTGGGTAGAGGCCTTGGCAAGCAGCACGCTGAAGCGTCCGGGTCCAAGCTCTTGGGAGAGTCAGCGGTTGCCAGCTGTGGACAGTTACGTCGGGCTTCCATCTGCGAAATCTAACCCCCTGCAAAACGTCCCGACCGACGACGCCTTTGTACCATCAGTTCTCAAAATGAAACCAACATGCAATTATCTATTTGCCGAGAGATCGACTGAAAGTAGGTATTATCCCTTCAGTTGTGTGGTTATGGAGAGGGGTTCAGCTGAGGGTGACTGATGGTAACTGATGGCGAATTCTTACCAATATTCCCAGCTCCTGTTCTCAACAACAAAAAGCTCCTTCCCCCGAAAAACACCTCGAATGTATTACCAGTAACGTTCAAGTACGTTGAGTACAACTCCGTTTCTTTTTTTAAGCAACGATTTTTGTTGTTATTTTCCGACCTTATAACTACCAAACCAACTCCATCCAACCAAGTCACAGACGCCTAGAACTAATGATGGAACAGCCGGATGTTCTGCTCCACGAAGGTGATGCCGAGCTTCTCGGCCGTCGCAAAGACAGCCGAATCATTTTGGCTGCCTCCCGGCGCCGCAATGTACTTGGCCCCGGACCTGGACGCCCGGAAGACGTTGTCGATGAACGGGAACTGCACCGCGTTAGATGGCTCGCTCTTCCGAAGGAAAAGAAAGAAAAAAAAAAAGGGGGGGGAGGATTGACCAGCCTGTCTTCTGACAACCATTTGCG